TCCCCGTCTGAAGCACATCTATGGGTTTGCACGACAGCTGGCTTTTGTTATGGTAGCCCACTACGTCGTATTCTGCAGGAAGGAAGATAGACTAAAGTTCATCCAAAAGCCGGAGGCAACAGGATCGGTGGGCAGCAGAAGCAACGCTTGGATTGTTTTTCAGCTCCGTGAGCACAAACAACGAGAAAAGTATGTATTACACAAGGACGTTTCCCTTGTGGACTCTTGGTGGGGGGAGAGGGGACAATATCTCGCGTCACGTGTATGCATCTTCCAGTCACCTTTCATTCCAAATCTGGGCTTGGATTCTGTAGTCCCATCCAAATGAGAGGGTATCTGCACCTTTTTAAGAGAAAGCAGGCCTCCTCAGGGGCCTGCCTTTGTGCAGGGGAAGTTGTAATCTGGAGGTATCCTGCTTAAAATATAGAGACCTCTGCTTTTGAAGGACTCGCGTTATTGTCAGGGGAAACCATTGAGCTTTTGCACTCCTTACAAGCGATTTACGTTAAAAATACCTGGAAAATATTTTGTTTGCAAATACCTGAGTATTGCAAGTGAGTCATATTTCAGTATAGGCAGGACATTAATACTTGGAGGTGCAGGAAATCTTAGTTTGTTGAACGAATGCAGAAAAGCGGCACAGCAGGGTTCCCTCAAACAGAGCTTGAGAAACTGGTCTGGGAAGGTTAATTCAATACTTAGCAACCTTGGTCATGTCCATAACCTCTTTCTTAAAATACGAACATATTTTTCTGACAAAGCTCTAAGGAGTGCTGCATCAGCTGATTCATCCTTCCTTTAATGCTACGAAGAGGAAAGAAGCTGGCAACATGCTATATTTATGCTTTGATGAAATGCTGCAACTGCTTGTGTCTTATCTAACAGGCTCAGCTAATAAGTACCTTGGGGTTGGCTCGTGGGGCTATAGGAGCAGGCGGGCTGTAGACCTGCAGCTTTCACTGGGTCCCTACTGAAGCTGCGGAACGCTTTCGGAGGGGTAGGGAGAGCTAGCTGCTCGTGCAGTCCTAGCAGGCATAAAAGATAGCTAAAAACGCGTGCGTTTCTCCTAGTGCTACCGCTGCATGGAGGTAGTTGTCAATCATAGGCAGGCAAGGAGCTGAATGCGATGGGAGAAGATACGCAGGAGGCAGCTATCTCACTTTAAATGAGGTCCCAACTAGGATGGAGTTTATCACTTCAGTGGTCTTTAAGGCATGTTTTTTTTCTTTAAGCAGATTTGAATTCCTAGCACTGTATTTGTTTCCTGTAAATGAGGGTCAATCAATGCAGGAAGGAAGGAGAAATGAAATTTTATGTGTGTGTATATATATAATATATATATAAATATATATAAAGTGGGAAGATCAAAATGTACTTGCCAGGGACCAGAGACACCGTGAGAATTGTATAAGATGGATGGATTCCTGGTCAGTTCAAATCAGGCCAGGCATCCCAGGTGGACCTGGGCTACGAGTGCAAATCTAGGGGGTTCTCTGAGGAACCTTAGATCCTGGAGACTGAATCTCAAGACAGTATAGGCCATTTAACCCCAGCTCTTAAATGGAGGACTCTTAGCCCGAAGGTGAGACTCTACTATTTGTTTTATGCCTGATATGGTCAGTGTCCCTTTTTCTTGGGAAATGTCTCCCGTATTGAGGATGACGCTCCGGTCACTTAGGACTATTCAGTCTCCCACCTTTTTTTTTTTTTTTTTTTTTGGCCCAGACAGTCATGGACAGAAATATAGAGGCAGTCTTAACGATCAGCAGCCAACTGAAGTGTAGTGCTGGGATGAGTCAGATTCTCGGTTTGGTGAAATGCAGTAAAATCAGCAGTGCACAAATTTAAGGGCGGAACTGAGGCTGCTTGGGACTGACCTAACTGTGCTAACAGTACAGTTGCTGGTGAAGCTCCTACTGATCTCAGTGGGAGTGAGATTAGGCCAATGCTTCCAAAAATCACTCTTTTCCTTTCTGACATCTGACCTGTTTAGTTAGCGAGCGGTGCTGCACCAGACCCGCTGTCTGCTCAGCAGAGCCCGTGTTGCCCATCTCTTGGGGTATTTATCATAGTTTGAGTGATTTGAGCACCGCTTATTGTTACGTGTGTTGTAAATTGGCTTGTGTTGCGAAAGGCTGCCACGTCCGGCTTCCATCTGTGCCCTGAAGCTAGGAGAATATCTGCCGTTTCCGTCCCTGCCTGCTTGTGCGTGGAGCTGCCAGGGATGCGAGCGAGATTAAAACCAAGAAGCTAATTCGTTGAGCCAAGGCATCACACAGGACCTGGTTAGGTGCCTGCCCTGCAAAAGGTGCCTGAAGAGAGTGGTGGGCAAAGAGGCAGGAGGCCAGGGGAAGGCGTGTGGAGCAAGGGCATGGCTGGGGCAATTGGGGCAAGGACTGAGGGAATGTGGAAGAGGCGAGAGGAAGAATAGCTGTACTTCTCCCCCCGCCGCCAAGAGTTAATGGGAAAAACGCGCTTTTGCATATGTTATGCAAAATGCAATCAATCTGCAAATCCAGTCCCCCTCAGGGAGGCCTGGACCAAGAAAGTTTTTCCTCCCTGTGATGTGCCAGACTGGGGAGGCTTTCCCTTCTGCCTCCTCCTCCTTCCTTGTCCTCTGCGCATACTGGTTATTTTAGAGACGCCAGTGGTGTTTGATGTGGAGTTTGGGAGGAAGGAGCAGGGCTGGCTGGCCCTGATTCTCATGAAGGTCGAGGAAGGAGTGCAGATACAGGCAGGGATTGCAATCAAGCAGGTGACAGTGTGTTTTATGAAAGTTGGCCTCCTGATGTGCCGCTCTGACACGGGCTGATGTACGCACCGGTAGGATTAACATAGTTAGGTACCAGGTAGAAAACGCAGCATGAGAGGTATGTACAAAACACAGGCCAAAGCTGGCAATGAAAACAGCCAAGAGACAGGTGTCGAAGGCAAAAGGGCACCTTGCCCAGGAGGAGCTATGCTGAGCACAGGGCTGGGCAGCCACAACTGCTCCTTGCAAGGGGTTGTCTGCTGCCCAAAGAGGGGGAGCAATGGAGAAGCTGCAGAAGCAGCTGTGGTGACGCTAAAGCTGGGCAGGCAGCCTGCTGATGCCTGGGAGCTGAGGCTACGGCAGCAAAAACCCTCCCAGAGCAAAGGCAGCAGGATTTAGACTGCTCTGGGGGCAGCTATTTGGGCATGCATGGATTCAGGATCGTGGTGGCAATGAAACTTCTGGTGATACTGGGTGGCTCTGAACCTGACGACCAAGCCTGTGGTGCTTGGCAGCCTGGAGTTTTATGCTCCAGCTGCTTAGACGATAGTAACTGATATGGTAACGCCCGTGAATAAATCAAGAAGGAGTTTTATCGCATGGAAAGAAATCATTTACAGACAAACCTTGTAGGACCTGGAAGTGCAAGGAGAGGGAGTATGGAAATGGTGATGGTAAATAACCTCTGAATATATTTCTGGATAAATATATACATGTGTACAAGCCTTCCTTCCACCCACTGCATGCCCGTGTGTGAACCTACCCACAAGATGCATAGTAAACCAACCGCAATTGCAGCGTAATGAGAGCAACAGCAATGGCATTATCTACAGAGGCTCTGCCAATGCAAGATCTCAGCCTACCTATGTGGTGGCATATCCATATCCAAATGGCTCGGACTTTCTCCAGGTCTGTCCGGGCTTGTTTAAGCAGGGCTGTAACGAGCTCCTCTATGCTGTTCTTGACATTTACCTGTTTGTAAGGAGAAAGCATTGCAAAATTGTAATGAAGAAATGGTGTGGTGGATCTACCTTCCTTCCTCCTCCCTTGTTCTGCTAAAGCGAGGAGGACCGCCACCAGCACACTGCTCTAACTTAAGCTTCGCTAATAATAGAAATACAAAGCTGTAATTCCACACTTCAAGCAAGGAATATTTTGGGTCTTAATTTTCCTCCTGGAGTGGGTTCTCTCTTTCTTAAGAATGCCCAGAAATATTTTTTCACTGCGGACTCCGAGGCGCTTGCCCAGTAGCTCAGGTTGAGCTGATGTTAGTGCTTGTAGCTGGGTTTCAAGGAGTGGCCACAGTGGAATGAGAGCTGGAGGGAGGACCGAGGTGAAAGCAAGACTTACTTTTAATGCGTAGGCATCCAGCTTCTCAAATTGCTGCAGGTCTACTGGCATGGATTTCAAAGAGGATTTGTCCCATGGATATGCTGCAAAGAAACACGTTGTTATTGTCTCAGGGGAAATTTTTCCTGGCTGAACGCGAGAACAAGGGGACACAGGAGAGCTTCCTGCCTCCTATCTGACCCCTAGAGGCATCCAGCAGCAGGTGCTTAGGAAGCCGGGGACACAAGGGCACCCACGGGATTTCCTTGCCAGCTGCAAGGAAAGCAGGGTTCATCCTGCCTAGCTAGTATAATCTGGGCATAGCTTGAGCAGGAGGTGCCTCTGCATCTTCAGCACTGCATAACAGCATAGAAAATCCCAGAATATTATATGTAGGTGAGCAAGATGCGATGCAGAAGTATCAGGGAGAATCTGTGCCATGGATACCTGAGCAAAAACATGGATTTTTTTTTTTCAAATCCAGCAAAGAGCTGGGTTTCTTGAGAAGTCTCACTGAAAAAGATGAGACTGTTTTGCCTAGTGAAGGCCCACGATTCTGCACAAATTCAGGCACATGAGTAACATTACCTGGGGAGCAGTTGCGTTGAAATTAATGTGCTTACTGGTCCGTGTGCGTCTTTGTAGCCTCTAGCCTACTCTACGCAGTGTGAATGAAGGTGTAATAAGTTATCCTAATTCATCCACTAGCTTATTTTTGTGACATTCTCCAAATGAGCTGACGTTGTTCTCTCCAGTCACTGAGCTACCGAAGCGTTCCAGCTGCAGCTCGATGCACAGATGGATCTGATGGACTTCTCTCCTAGCCTGCGCTCTGTGCTCAGCACTCCTGTTTCTTCTGAGCTAGCAAGAATTGAGCTCTACGGTTCTCTCACCCCCCTGCTATGTGCTGTCAAAGCCATTCAGGACTAAAGATGTTCTTTCGGGGCATCTCTGTAGGATTGTAATTTCTCTGGAAACAAGGATTTAAAAGAGATCATCACATGGAAATGCTGTTGTGCGACTCCAAAGTGCTAGAAGAGGTGACTGAATGGTGCTTGTAGAGCTGCTGTTTGCTTAGCGATGGGTGACAGGGAGAAGGGAAGCGCATCAGGCTGTGTGCGGGGGCACAGAGACTTTGGCTGGTTGTATGCCGGTTTGGATGTGAACCTTGCTAGGCAGGTGGGATGCCCCTCTGCTGCCTGGCTGCCTAGTGCCGGTGGGACCCGGATGCAGGAGAGGCAGCGAGGACTGCCTATCTTAGCTGAAAAGCTGGTGGTGCTTGTGAAGTCTGTAGTCTTCATGTTCCTCCTCCATCTCCCCAAAATAGGGCTTGGGCTCTGGCTTCCTTGCCTTTGGCTTCCTCCAGCCCACTGGGGAGTCAGCCATCCCCTGGTGCCTGTCCCCTTCACCTTGAAAGTCTGGGCCTGAACTGGAAAGATATCTTGCTAATACGAGCCTCGCTCTTCTCGGAAACCTCTGCCCCAGGGAGGGATTAGGGAATTGGAGACTCTGTGAGTCTGGCTCACACGAGTGCCCTCAGCTCCGTGCAGCCTCCCCGCGTCCTGGCAACGGTGGAGCCTGCCAGTTAGGACGCAGGTGACCAGCACCTGCTGTCCTTCCCTGCTCTGGGTAGGTGCCCATCTGCCAAAATCCGGGTGTGAGGGCACGGCATCTGTTTCTTTAACAGGCTCGTTTGTTTATCTCGGTTTTCACTGAAAAGGGCTATTACGCTGACCTAAGGAGAGATAAAGTAGATTTACGCATTTAAAGGATCCTACTCAGTACAGCTCTGAAAATTACTTTTTGCCTTTTGGGAACTGGATGGTTTTTTAAAATTGGTTATCAGTTTAGTCTTTGTCAGGTTATAGCTGCAAAGGCTCCCTACAGATGCAGGAGCCGCCATAACTCATGTAGTCTTGTGCTATTACCTTGGCAGTTAGAAAATGTGCATCATGCCCATTTATGGAGTAGCCTTCCTCGGATATGGAGAGCCTTGAGAACATCTAAAGCAGGTGCGACATTCCCCAAACCATCCTGTTTTGCCACCCGGACAAACAGAGGACAGGGAAGCTGTGAATGTACTTGTGGCAGTAGAAAGTAAATCACTTGTCAGTGCGCTGCGGTTTAGGTCTGGAGCAGTTCTGTTCCTAGGCCTGATGGGCTTCCCGTGTGGGGCTGCCCCGTGTTGTGCCTAGCTGTGCTGGTGGCATAGAGCTATGACACAGCCGATAGTTACCGTGCAGGTCTTTTCCACTTGGTGGCCGTGGGGCTTCAGTCTTTTGGAAACCTGGCGAAGCGGAGAAGGGAGTGTGAGGCAAGCAGTTGTTAGTAAAAGAGAAAGAACAGACAAAAATAAGTGAATTTGGGGAACTGGCTTGGGTGGAAGAAGTTGGAATTCAGGCTGTTCTCTGCCCATTTGCTTGCACTTGGACGTGAAAGTTAATCACATTGTGGAGAACAGGCACGGAGGGGACAGCGTAGAAAGCCTTCAGGATCATTGCTGTGCCCTGTTTCCCCTCCCTGAGGTCCCGTGGCTCTTGCAGATGCCACATTCCCAAGCAGTCAGACATCTCCTGTTCTAGCCGGAGGGTTGGGAACACCAAACCCCTGCTCACCACCCAGCCAAACTGCTCGTGGCATGGAAGAACTGAGAGTGCGTGCGGCAGAGAGATCTGAGCTCCAGTTTGTGCCCGAGGCAGTTGTTAGATGATAACTTTGCAGAGAGCCCTGCAGCAGCTGGAGGATTTTTGAGGAACATTGCAGCCTCCAGACTGTCACCACCCGTGTAACCCTGGGGCCTTTGGAGGAGACTCTCCACCCCAGAAACAGAAGGATTTTGCTGACACCACCAGCTGCTTCTCAAGGTCCGGGCGCTGGCAGGGTACGGCTGTATCTGCCTGGCAGGGAGACTGGGCATACGGCCACCTCCAGGCAGTACAGTCAGCGTCTGACCTCGGGTGCTGGCAGCCTCTCAAGAGCTTCAAGATGACAGGCCAGCAGTGGAGAAGGGAGTCTGCCCCTTCTGGGAGCAACTGCCCTAAGCCTGGCCACGTGGGTTTGCTTGGAGAAACACGTTGTGGTAAAGCAGCCTCACCTTTATTGTCCTGGCCTCTCAGACTGGGCTTTCGGAGACCTGCAACAACGGTGGCACAGTCAGTTAAATCGCTGCGCGGCTGTGGCAAGCTGTACTCTGGCTCGAGGAGCCTCTCGTGAGCAGTGTGACACCCTGCCCTGGCTGCAGCCCCCTCCTCAAGCTCCTAGAGGCTTCTTGTCGTTGCTGCTTCCACAAAGGCGAGAACACTGCCCTGTTTCCTGTGGGCCCGTCCTTGCTCCTTTCTGCTGGAAGGATGTTAAGTCTATGGGCCTGACCCACATTGTAATATGTTTTGGAAAACGTTTTGTGTCTGTTAATAATGGTTTATCCACTGTCGGAAAGTTCTACCATGAGTAGTAGCCTCCAAGAGGTGGGGACTCAGTGGTGTCAAGGAGTGATAGCACTGGAATGACCAATGATGGCAGACGTGGCTTTACCTACTCCCAAGAAGTGGCTGTTCTGAAGCTGAAAGGTGGTTGCCACTCTGGTGGTTGCATGTACAGCAGGATTAAGGCTGAGAATTGAACTTTAATCTTGCCGTTTTCCTGTTTTTAGGCTCCCCTCCTAAACTTATTTGCATGGGAGTGTAAGTGCAGGACACATTGCATGGCGTCCTGCCGACTCCCACAGAGACACTAGAAATATCTGTGATTCTCTGGCCACCGCAGTCCCTGAAGCTCCAAGTGAGGCACCAGCTGTGTCCAGACGCGAGACCCTCTCAGCAAAGGCTCTCTGGCCTGCACTCACACAAATGCCCAAACACGCCTGGTATTTGTGCTGCAGCCCTAGCTTTTTCTTTGGAAAGCATTTTTCTTCCTTCCCCAATCCTGTATCATCTTTGTGTCACTGCAATGCCCCGAGCGCCGCAGTTTGCGCACGAGCCCACGACGTGCCCTGCTGAGGCACGCCTGCTAGGCTGCAGCTTCGCTACGCCAACCTGTAAAGCAGGGCTCTACCTTTTCCGAAGGAGAGTTTCTTGAGCAGCTGTGGGGTGGTGTTTCTGGGGTGTATCTCCACTGTCACCTGAGTTCCTGCAAGAAACGGTGAGAAACACTGTAAGACGTCACGATGCTCAGAAAGAACCTCCCAAGAAAACTTGGGGGACTTTTGTTTAACATTTCTTTCTGAAAATGAGAGAGAGTTAGAAGGGGAAAAAAAGGTGTCTTGCAAGAATTTCTAGAACTTTTTGAAAGAGACAGCGTTTTTTGGCAAGTACTTTAGGAGGTTTCTAAACCTCGAGGTTTCTCTAGAGGACTTCAGTACAGTTGTGGGCTCCTCATTTTGGATCGGACAGAAGTTAGTTTGGAGACTAAAGGTCAAGATGTTCATGCGTTTTGGGACGGCCCTCTAATCACACTTGTTAGCTCTTACGAATTCAGCGAGAGTCTCGTGACGTTCGGGGTTTTCCATAAAACCCATCTCTTGGAACCAGTTAGGTAGGTAGGAATCTGCACTTGCCTCAAAGAATAAGTATTTCTCAGAATTTAACTTTAAAAAAAAGTTTTGTATCTTGTGATTATGGAGAAAAGCTCAAAGTCATTCAAACCCCAACAGCAGAAGGTGAGAAAACCCATACAAACTGTAAAACCCTTTTAAATCCTGGAGCTTGACTCCAGTTCTTGGATGCTTGCAAACATCAGGGTGTCAGGATTAGAGCTGGTTGGTATATTGTGTCAGTTAATTCTGAGGCAAAAGGTAGTTGTTTCTTGAAGTAAGCCTTTGTGCAAACAGTATGATTTTTCTCAAAATTTTTGTTCTCAACGTGCCATTTTTCAAGATTATTTTTATCTTTGGAAATTTTGTGGGGTTTCTTGCTGACTTCCACTTTCTCCATCTTTCCCCCCATAAATTAAAATTCTTTGTTTTCAAAAAAACAGATTGAACAGTGAGGAATGCATTTTTCTAGAAAGCTTAAAAGACATTTAATAAATCCTACAAAGTAAGCCCATAGACTTTTTTTCTAAGTGTTAACATCTGTCTGCTTTTAAAACTAATGACATGAAATGGTTGCTGATGTTTTTATAACACTTCTTTACTGTTCCTAATCAAGACCTACTTGGCGAAGTGGAAAGCCTTCGAATGTGAGCGCTTGTATGGAACCGATAGAGGAGGTGAAACGGAAGATGGGTTCTGTCATAAGATGTAAAGATGCTATTTTGACCTAGTGCGGAAACGTGTGCTATTTTCCAGGTTCCCTGTGGCCAGGTGCGTGCCGGGAGTGCTTTGTGGAAGAGCTGTGCCGGCGCTGCCCTGGCAAAGCGCTCTAGTGCAGCGAAGGCACCTTGAACGGTAGATCCCTACGAAAGGGATCACCTCTTAAACTGAACTTTTTGTCAGCGTTATTTTTTCCAGTGCTTGCACCCTTCCACCAGCACTGGCAAGAGTATGTTTTTGCCAATCCTTTTGGTTACATCTACGCTACGTCCTGGTGATCAGGGAGATGGTGGAAAGGCAGGTGCTCTAGGAGGCACCTCCATGCATCCGCAGTGAGAGGATGAAGGTGCTGCTGGCCCCAGCCGGCAGCCTTTCTGCTGTCCTATAGGTGGCACGAGCCCAAGGTAAGCCGACGTGCCCCCTACCTTAGCAGCAGTGAGGCCGGACTCGTTCCCGACTTGTCTGTTTGCCGTTATCATTGCAAGGACGGATTGGGTGTGCGGTGGTGTGCCCTGGGACAGCGTGTCTACGCTGTGCTCCCCGGCCGCGCAGGCTGGGGCTGTGCCCTGAAGGGCAGCGCGCTCCCAAGCATCGCCCTTGCCGGATATAGCATGAGCTTGGCCGTGGCTGAGCACCGGCTCCCAGCATGGACCCCGGAGAGCTATGGCTGGAAGGAAGGTTTGGGCTATGTTAGGTGTGCTTGTCAACCCAGCTGTCCTGGTGGTGACGCGCCGCCTCCGACAGCTGAGTACAACAGCCGGGCTGGCAAGGGTCTGCGGGGCGAGAGCTGGAGGGAGGCCTGGGGTTCGCCGGGAGCGTTTTGCCAGCGGAGCTAGGGAGTGTCGCTGCACCGGCACGGCCCCTTCTCGCGCGGGCAGCAGGATGAGACCGGCCCCGAGCGACTGATAACTGTGCTACGCCTTATAGCAACCAAGCGTAAAAGGAAAACCAAGCCCGCAGAAGCAAAGCCACAGGAGCTGCTCGCAGCTACTGCTGCTCCCCGAACGCTTGGGCTGGGGAAAGCCCGAGGTGCCTGAGAGCTCGTCTAGGGTTGAATTCTCCCGTTTGAGATAAGAAATTGTCAGTGTGGCTTTTTTTTTTTTTAATCTGTTTTGGGTGTTCTGAGCCTATTTTGTTACCAAAAAAAATCTCAAGCAGGAGCTGTCTGAAGCCCTGGCCTGAAAAATTGTTATCCCTTGGGTGGCCACTTACCTTCGTTGGAGTAAGAAGTAACGGCTTGTGTCTGCTTGTAGGGCTCCCTGGGGACTTGCTGGCCTGATTGGATGAAGAAAAACATCTCGGTGACTCAGAGAGAGTGGAGGCGTGCTGATGGAGGTGCCCAGAGCGGCGGCAGATTAAACCCATAAATTTGCTGGGCAGCGAAGTAAGTAACGACACCGCAAACCCGACTCGCCTCTCCGGCTTACGAGGCAAAGGGCTCACGGTTCAGCGTGACCTGATAGCGCGTGGCCCAGCGCCAGGTGCTCGCGCTCAGATGGCGCGAACAGCGGGGGAAAGAAGCCGGCTGGGAGCAAGCCCTGGCGTTCAGGGAGGACGTTAGCTGGGCACGGGGAGCTCTTTGGGGAAACCTGGCTGGAGCGGAGAAAATTTGCCTCTCTGCGTGGAGCGCCGGCCCGTGCACAGCACCCCAGCTCCCCCCTTCCTCCCCGGTGCCCGCTGAGCCGACCCCTTCCTCGGGCCGGGGGTGCTGAGCGCTCCCGGGTTGCACGCCGTTGCAAGAAGCATAAATCCATCCCTCGGGGCTGCGCTGACAGGTAGACAGCGCAGTCAGCGAATGCCGCGCGTGACAGCTCGCGTACGGCTTTGGATGCTAGACCCTGCTGCAGGGAGGATGGACGCTGGCCAGGCCGCGAGGGTGATCCCTTGCTCTTTTTTCAAAGTGTCATGAGATCCGCGCCCTGCCAGCCACGAGAGACCAGTGCAAGGAGCCTCGTTTCAACAGCTTGTCCTGAAGGCCAGATACCATTAGTAACTTGTAGCTGTGACAAGAATCAGGCCCGTGAATTATGAGATTTTGCTGCACTGTATGGGGCAGCAGCCTGTTTATTGCAGCGTGGTTGGGGCTAGGCTTATGTAATACAGTTTGTAAATATTGCAGCAGCAGCAGCTGCTCAGCGGTGTCAGAGACTTCATCAAGATGCTAACGTGGCTGATTAAAGGTGAATTTATTAACCCCTGTGGTGCTAGAGGATCAAGAGCTCTGTCTGTTCTTTTGACATCAGAATTTCTTCGTGATCCTCAAGGGGATTCAAATTGTGCCTAAGGCAGAGCTGCAAGAAAAAGTTTCCCGAATGCAGATGCGCACTAAATCCTCCTAGTCCCCCAGTTAGTCCTGTGCGGTAACTAGTCAACGCTGTCCCTTCGCTCGTAATGGATGTTCTGACTTCTGCGCTGCAGCTGGAGTTACAGACCCTCTTGAGCGTGACGGAGGAGCAAGAGGGCGTTCTGCAGAGATGGATGTTAGTCTGCTTCGTGGAATTAAGGCTTTTGTTAGCTGGTGTCTGATACTATCAGATGCGCTTTAAAAAAAAAAAAAAAGTTGTATCTTGCTGTGAGCTATTGTTTGCTCAGTCTGGGAGCTTTATCCAGCTGCCATTGATTTCAGAGGGGCGTGGATCAGGACTCCTAGCAAGCAGCGTATTGGTAACAGCTGCGGCTTTTGTATACCGCTGCTGCTGTCCTGTGGAAGCAAAGCTCCTGTGGAGCATAATTGGAATCAAGTGGTTGGTGCCATTAGACCGAACTGATGTTTATTCTAATGAATCGGCTTTTTGCTTTGTCTTTGCCCCTTGCCTTTCTCTGCGTTGGGTTAGAGACTGCCAGGAAAGCGAGTGGGCTGCTCTGATTCCCTTTCCGGGGAGCTGCCTTATTCATGTTGCGCCGCAGTCCTGCAGCCCAGCTGGGTGCAGCCGGGGATAACCTCTTCAGATGTTACTTCTCACTGTTTCAGGGCAGAGAGGTGAGGAATTGGCAGGGGAGCGTTCAAGACTAGCAGCCACAGCTTTCCTTGAGACCGGTCACACCTGACTTGCACAGCTGCCCTCAGCAGTCTCTGAGGGGCCGAGGGGAGGAAAGGATCAGTGGACAGACAGGTTGAAAACCCAAGTGTTTCCTGCACGCGACAGATCCTCCTTAAGCTACGTGAATCCTGGGGAAGTCTCTGGAAGCTTTCTCTGCAGCCGGAGCAGCGTGGGGCACCGAGTTTCCCCTGCCGTCGGCTGGCTGTGAAACGTAAAAGAGCTCCGGGCACCTGAAATACGACCTAGCTCCGTGACAGCTTGCGGGAGAGTCCCCTGCCCATCATGCGTGCGTCGGTTCTGCGGCGTGTCACCACTGTCCTGACGCGCACCCTGCCCGCGGGGGACAGGTGAGCTGGGAGGGGACACGTCCCATGACACGCAACCCCAGGGCCTCCGAGCGTGTTTAGCAAACCCCACCAAAGAGCTGAAACAGGGTGGGTTGTCTCAAGCATGCTGGTGCTGGAGAGGCGCAGCTGGGTGCTAAAAGCCTGCAGATGGATTTTGTGTACTGTGGTTAGTTTATCTGTAGCGCAGTTTTTCCCCCCACATAGAGTGAGAAGACAACATACCGTTACGGTCTCTCCCCTTCGGTGGCTGTGATCTGTTGTTTCCATTTCCATCCTCCTGTAAACCTGTAAAATATAAACATGAGGTTGGCAGATGGTCCTAGTGGAGTACCATGCAGTACGGGCCGAGGAACAAAACACAGACAGAGGCAGGAATAGCCACGCCACAGGGGGAGCACATCAGCTTGGCATTATTTCTCAGCTAAACATGTAAAAACACTGCAGAGTTCACAGTCATTAGATCTCTTCCCATTGCTCTCTTCTTTCTTCTTCTGGAAACCTGGATTTTAGCATGCATCAGCCCTGCCTTGATGGGACCCAAGCTTTGGTCTCTGCTGTGCAGACCAAACCTCCCAGCTCGTCGGGCATCTAGATGAGGGATTTCCGGCACTACGATGTATGCGTGCCCCTTGCACATGTGAGCTTCTGGTAGTGGCTGAAGGCCAAGCACCCCTAAATCTTTCACCTGATCCATCGCAACAACTGAATTCAGATGTCATCAGGATCCGTCTTTCCTGTCTCGTCTGTAGTATGTGTTGCAGCCCCTGCTGCTAGACCGTGGAGTACCAGAAGGGAGACAGTACAATATTCGAAACCTAAGTGGCTTCCGTAGGGCTTGCTTGCGCTTGGGTAGGTGTAAGATGCTCTGTTAGACACAGCATGAGCATACCTTCTGTGTTAGCCCTGCCTGTCCTTGTTAACCTGGACCTGGCTGCGCGATAGAGCTAGATTTTCCCCAAGGTTTTAGAGCTAGGGCAGAAATATTCCTTTTCTTCTCTCAGCTCTGCAGCGAGGGTCTTCTTGCGTTTGCAGAGTACAGCCGTCGCTTTTGGGAAGATCCCCTGAAGGGAGAGCAGCTAGGCCAGGGGAGACTGTCCCCAAGCACGGCTATAAATGGCTCGGGGTAGTCATCGCTGGAGACGAAGCCTAGACACACTTCAAACCAAACAGTTTTGCCCTCTATTCCTTTGTGATAGGCGCTGGTCTAGGGGCTAAGCAGCTGAGCTCGCTCCCCGCTCCCCTTGCACGGCTGCGCGAGCCCGTGGAGGCCTCCCAGGGCTGTCGCAGGACAGAGCAAAGTGCAACCCCGGTGCTCAGCTGAGTACCCGTGCGCGGGGTTGAGCGCTGAGCAACATGCACGACGCAGCAGGCAACGGGCACCAGAAGGACCTGTGGAGCCACGCTGGGTTTCTAGGAGGAAGTTTGAGGTTTCG